CATTTTGTATTGAAGAACATTGCGGTTATAACTCCAGAAGTTATACACCACAATTATCACCTTAATAAAATGAAAAGTGATTTTTTCCTTTTGGGAAAAGTTACACTGGGGGGATGATATATATATATATATATATATATACAGAATAATATTCCTTTATTTCTTTTAAAGAGTTTTTCTCCTTCTCGTCCCCCGGTGTCTCAACGGTAAGTCTCTGGGCTTATAACGCTAGAAACCTGGCTTTGATACCCAAGGCTGGCAAGACACAGATAGCCTTTTGTACAGCTTTGTACCTTTCAACAAACAAAACCTTCCACATTCTATACCAGTGATAAACTTCCTCATTGTATACCAGTGATAAACTTCCTCATTCTATACCAGTGATAAAGTTCCTCATTCTATACCAGTGATAAACTTCCTCATTCTGTACCAGTAATAAACTTCCTCATTCTATACCAGTGATAAACTTCCTCATTCTGTACCAGTAATAAACTTCCTCATTCTATACGAGTGATAAACTTCCTCATTCTATACGAGTGATAAACTTCCTCATTCTATACGAGTGACAAACTTCCTCATTCTATGCCAGTGATAAACTTCCTCATTCTATACCAGTGATAAACTTCCTCATTCTATACCAGTGAGAAACTTCCTCATTCTATGCCAGTGATAAACTTTCTCATTCTATACCAGTGAGAAACTTCCTCATTCTATGCCAGTGATAAACTTCCTCATTCTATACCAGTGATAAACTTGGCTTTGGGTTTAATATAATTCGGAATGAACTAATATGTAATTTTATTTCCGTTGTTAGTCTTGATATTTTTTCACCACGTGTTGGAGTTGATTATTTTATTTCTGTTGCTTGTCCTGACATTTTTCACCACGTGTTGGAGTTAATTATTTTATTTCCGTTGTTAGTCCTGACATTTTTCACCACGTGTTGGAGTTGATTATTTTATTTCCGTTGTTAGCCCTGATATTTTTCACCACGTGTTGGAGTTGATTATTTTATTTCCGTTGTTAGTCCTGACATTTTTCACCACGTGTTGGAGTTGATTATTTTATTTCCGTTGTTTGTCCTGACATTTTTTCACCACGTGTTGGAGTTGATTATTTTATTTCCGTTGTTAGTCCTGATGTTTTTTCACCACGTGTTGGAGTTGAATATTTTATTTCCGTTGTTAGTCCTGACATTTTTCACTACGTGTTAGAATTGATTATTTTCTTAGTCCTGTCATCCTTTACTACATATTTTTAGAAACTGTAATACACTTTTCTATCTCGTTGAGTTGGCGAATTTTCTTTGTATCCGAATGTTCCACATTTTAATGAACACTTCTCTCTTAAGCTAAGTATTTCACTTTTCATTCAGAAGGAAGGAAAGTGTAGTTTTAGTGACGTGTTGATATCTATGTCTGTGTGTCACATGTTTTTTTCAGAGGGAAAGAAAGTGTAGTTTTACTGACGTTTTGTTATCTATGTCTGTGTGTCACATGTTTCCTTCAGAGGGAAGGAAAGTGTAGTTTTACTGACGTGTTGTTATCTATGTCTGTGTGTCACATGTTTCATTCAGAGGGAAAGAAAGTGTAGTTTTACTGACGTGTTGTTATCTATGTCTGTGTGTCACATGTTTCATTCAGAGGGAAGGAATGTGTAATTCTACTGACGTGTTGTTATCTATGTCTGTATGTCACAGGTTTCCTTCAGAGGAGAGGGAGGGTTTAATTTACTGACTTGAGAAAATGTTTGCTTTGTTTATGTGTTTTATGTGAACGTCTGTGTGTCCCATGCTTCAATCAACATTCAGAAATATTAGGATGTACGTTTTCCTTGAGGTTAAACCAAGAGTCATGTCAAGGATACAGCTAATGTTAAAAGTAAGTCAAAGATTAGGAATCTGTTAATAGATGTATTAAAAGTGTGCACAAATACTCCACAAACTGATTGGGCAACAAGAGGACAAAATTAATGTTAAATGTCTTTACCACAGATAAATTATAAACAGCTTCAAGCAGTCAATTTCATTTTCACAGGTTGAAGCAAAATACCTAATGAGAGTAGTTGTTTTAGGGCTCGGGTATGTTTTCTAAACGTCTTATATAATTAATTATTGTTATTAAATAAACTCTTCCCATTACGTTTCACACTTTTTAAATTAACCTCCGCACGTTTCACATTTAACCACCACACACTCCTCACACTTTCTAAATTAGCCAATGCATTTTGCATTAGTTTCACACTTTTTAACTTATCCAAATTCACTTTGCATTAGTTTTCACACTTCTTAACTTATCCAAATTCACTTTGTATTAGTTTCACACTTCTTAACTTATCCTAATTCACTTTGCATTAGTTTCACACTTCTTAACTTATCCAAATTCACTTTGCATTAGTTTTCACACTTCTTAACTTATCCAAATTCACTTTGCATTAGTTTTCACACTTCTTAACTTATCCAAATTCACTTTGCATTAGTTTTCACACTTCTTAACTTATCCAAATTCACTTTGTATTAGTTTTCACACTTCTTAACTTATCCAAATTCACTTTGCATTCGTTTTCACACTTCTTAACTTATCCAAATTCACTTTGTATTAGTTTTCACACTTCTTAACTTATCCAAATTCACTTTGTATTAGCTTCCAACCTTCCACATTCGTTCCCATACTTGATAAGTTATCCTATGTACTTTGTATTAGCTTCCCCTCTTTCCAAATTATCCTCAATCTGTTGATAATGATACAGTATCCTCCAAACGAGGATATATAGATGTATCATTAAATGTACCAATATATATACTAAACACCCAGGAGTCCACTATTATATCTAACTGTCATGTTTTTTCTTCGTTTAGTACGATATCAATGAAATTATAGATATTTTTTTTTATACAACAGATTTAACGTCAAGTGTATAATGAATATTAAAAAAAAAACTACTGTACAAACAAATAAATGAGAACGTGAACCGAAATCAAAACAAACTCTTCGGGGATTTGGAGACTGATCTCCAGGTGTGCAGATAAATTACGATTTTACAGTAAGATCTAGTTGTAAACTATAAATCTTGTCAGGTAAAAACGTGTTATTAGGTTCGTCTTTCTCATCGGATGAGTATATGCTGTTGATATAACAAGTTTTTATGTTAAGAGGCTTCCCAATGAGATATAACTTTGTGTAAGAAGCTAAACAGAGTACTCTTGTTGTTCGTTCGCTAGACTACGAATTATCTCCTATTAGGTAACAGTAAGAGGCTACGTTGTAATGCTCCGAGCATTATCCCTTCTGCCGAAGATATGTGTCAAAACCACCTGCAGCAAAACAAAAGCGCTTTTGGTCACAAATTCACGCAACTACTAAGACTATTGAATGTCAACAGTCACTTAACGCTATACTCAAGATTGTTAGCTACTCGTACTATAGGCTTACGTGGGAAATATAGCATACGTTCCATAAATATACATGCTCGTCGGACTATGGTTCCGTGGGTCCAAGGTTCGCGTCCGGTTGTCGCAAAAGCGTACAAGAGTGATTGTCAAATATCACTATTCGATTAAAGAAGCCCTATAATTGGCGGTGGGTGCTGTTCATTAGCTGCCCTCTCCCTTTAGCCTGTGAGTGCAAAGCTAGGGATGACCAATGCAAATAACCCTTGTTTAGCTTTGGGCGAATATTCTAAACAACCCATAAGTACCCATACCTTTGTATTATTTATTGCGCTTATTTTAATATGCATGGCATTGTCATGTGCTTAGGGGGCGCTCGGCTAGCAATCTAAGGGTCGCGAGTTCGAATCCTCGTCTCACCAAACATGCTCGCTTTTTCAGCCGTGTAGTATTATAATGCGACGTTAATCCCACTATTCGTTAGTAACACAGTAGCTCAAGCGTTGGCGTCGGGTGGTGGTGACTAGCTGCCTTCCCTCTAGTTTTCACTGCTAAATAAGGGACGGATAGTGCAGATAGCCTTCGGGTTGCTTTACGCGAAATTCAAACAAGCCAAACCAAATATTTTAATATTCACCCACAATACTTTATATAATTTAAAAACTGTATTTTTTTTATTATTTCAGAAAATGATCGGCGATAAAGAAACGTAGAGGACAGAAACGACATTGCTGACAACCCCTCTTATCTATCCATCGAAAAGAAAGAAAGAGAGAGAGAGATTGAGTAAAACATTTCGTCTTATTCCTCACGAACTGTGGATTGAGAACGCAATGTGGATCCACGAATTACGAAGATATGCTTCTAAATTTAACGACTACAACGACAACTCTCAGTTTTACAGAGATAACAAGCATACGCTTATCCAGCTGGAAATAGAACTGAACGTTAGCAATGACCAAACCGAACAGTTTGTTGGGGACAACGAAACGATCCCGAACGCCACAGAGATCATTGTTCCGTTCGGATATCCTCTCGCAATGCCAGTAGTAGAAGCCGTAATAACGGCCGTGGTTTTGTCAGCCATCATGATCAGTACAGTGTTCGGGAACATCTTGGTAATTATCTCCATATTCACCTACAGACCCCTCCGGAGTGTCCAGAACATATTCCTGGTCTCACTGGCCTGTGCGGACATTGCCGTTGCCATATTGGTCATGCCTCTTAATG